CTTCCAATCAGTGCAATGGTGGCCCTGGCAGCAGGTACAGTAACCGACTGTCTCAGTTTGGTGACAAGCGCAAGCAAGAGCTTGTGAGCTTTCCGTGACACCTGTCACGGCCGACGAACACATTGGCGATTCGGACTGTGGAGACAACCACCGGTGCAGCAGCGCGTGTCACGACGTTGGTCACCAGAGGAGACACCAGCATTTGCTTTGGCACTCACGCAAGAGGGGGCCTTGCCTCCGCTGTCCTCCTCAGTCCTAGACCACCCAAAGGACCCCACCGGGCTGGAAGGCCCCGCTTCTAGGGCGGGTAACCACTTCCTGTGCTGCCCAGGGTCCTGGGGGTGGGGTCAGAGCTGGGTTCCCCGCTCCAGCCCTTTGTACCCACGTAGCCTCGCACAAGTTGGACGACCTGGGCGAGCCCCCTCCTCTAAGTGGACACAGCCGGGGTCCCTACCTTAGCGCTGGCCAGGAGATTAGAGAACAAATACATTCTTTCCTTCCCTCAGTCCCAGGTCACAGCCCCAAGGCCAAACACTGGGATTACAATGCCCCTGGGCAATCGCTGGGCTGAACGGTTTTCTTTTTGGACCTCGGATGTGGGCGGCACAACCAGATAGAGAGCATACTAGAGCCAGAGGTCTCAGCTCAGAAGAACACGCGTCCTGGACCAGCGAAGCAGCAGGGGCTGCGGTCACTTCCCTCCACCGCGTGCGCGCATGCGTGCGTGCGTGCGTGCGTGCGCGTACTACTGTCTGTTGCTTGGGAGTAAAGAATCAGTCTGCAAACTCAGAAATCTGTCAGTTATGTAGCTTTCCCCCAGTTCCGGCGGAAGCCCGAGCGAGGTTGGGGAGTTACTGTCTCGAAATTACTCAGCTGTTTCACTTTTGCAATTGAAGAATTGAGACAAAACTTATTTCAAATACTGACTTAGCTGGCCCCGAGTCAGAAATTCAACTCCTGTCATAGAATGGTGGCTCACTAAGAGCAGCAAACGTGGGAAAGGTGTTCTGGGGAATTCTTTCGATTTTTTGTCCAGCCGAAGCCTCACTGGGCACAGAGCACAAAGCCTGCGTGTTTGGAGGTGATAATTTGCTATTGGATTTGATGACTCTGTGCCACACGGAGGTGAGTTGGCAGTGCCCTGTGTGCCCTGACCACACAGCCCCCGGGGCTTTGCCTCCCTCCTCTCTGCCCTCAGTCTCCGCTTTGTGCTTCGGCTGCACCAGGCCCCGTTACTGTGAGCTATGCTGCGACCCACTCCTGGGCCCGGGCGGGGCCTGCTCTATAAATAAAGGAAGACACAGGCATCCCTGCCTGACAAATGCCACCAGCCACCGCCCAGGTCACAGGCAGATTCCTGCCGCACTGCCATCCCCGGAGGGGGCAGGGATGAGGGCACGGCTCTGGCCTCACCCAGCACCCAGCACCGTCACTTCGAGAGAGCCAGCGCTTGTCTAGGAGTTCAGATGCGGGACCCGCCTCACCATCCTCCCAACCCTCTAAGAAGGGCGCTCCCAGGACCGACTCTGCAGATGGGTAAACCGAGGCTCCCTGGGCTTAAGTAACTTGCCGGAAATCCATGGGCACGAAGAGGGATTTCAAGTCAGGCACTGCGACAGACACCTGCAATCCCAGATACTCAAGAGGCTGAGGCAGGAGAAATCAAAAGTCTGAGCTACTCTTGGAATATTTAGCAATAGCTTCAAAGATTAAAAGCCATCTCAAAACAAAAATAAATAAATAAAATAAAATAAAAAGGACTGGGATGTAAATTGGAGGTGCCGCTCCTAAATTCGATCCTCAGGGCTTCAATAAATAATAACCAAAAAGAAGAGAGCTTTGGGCCCCAGTCTTCCGAGTTCTCCACCCGTTAGACACTCCCCCACCCCAGCGAGGAACACCTCAGAAGTATTTGGAGGCAGGAGTCTTATTTTAAAATTACCTGCACACTCTGTGCACCGGCGTACTGCACCGTCTGACATTTTCCTTTTCTTCTCTAGGAAACGCTTTTTCACCTTTCATTGAAGAAATCGGAGTGTGGGTGCCCCTCACACGCACACACTCAACTTTTAGTGAGCGGTGAGTTCAAAAGAGAAAGCGTTTAGCTCCTCCTGCCTTAGTTTCCAGCCTCCTCAAGGCCAAACGTAAACACCCACCGTGACAACAAAAACCAAAAGAAGACAAAACCTACTCAAACAAAGGAAGGCCGCCTTCCCGGGCCCCCGGCGCAGCACGCGGGTGACCTCAGCGCAGGCCGGCGGCCCCGGGCTTCCGGCCCCTTGGTGACCGAGTGGCTACCTGTCGCCTCTCTGCGCAATCGCTAGCGGATGCTAGCGCAGGGAACACGCCGGGGACGGGGACAAGCCATAACGTCTCAGCCCGAAAGCGGGACTGCTGGAGGAGGGGACGGAGCGGAGCGTCCCCGCCGGGGCGCTTCCGCGGCCGGGCTTCGCCACCGGGGACTCCGAGGCAGCCAGGCCCGGCCGTCCCGAGCAGCGGGGCGGCGGCAGCGCCCCGGAACGCGCTCCGGGGCACCCGCTCAGCCGTCCGAGCCCTGCGGGACCTGACCTCCACCCTTGCGGGGCACCGGCAGCCGCCGCCTGCGGATTGGTGCGCTTCTCGGGGCGCCGGGCGCGTGCGGGGGAGGAGCTCGCCGGCGGCTGCACAGTCCCCGCAGCGACGCAGCCGCAGCCCCCCGGCCGCG